GCACATTCAAATCTGGCGATGAATTTTCTTACGATTTTCCCTTTTTTTTTTTTGTTCTTCATCGTATTTTGGTGACACCCGAAAAATGGCGAAAGTTGTGCAAAGCTCAAAGTGCGTGCGGCATAGTCAGCCATCGCCCAACTTGGCCCACATTTTCCCTCAGATTTCCCCGCCGCTTTCCACATTTCCACTTGACTTGCGGCGTCTACGCGAGCCTGATTGCAAAGCAACCGAAATTGAAGCGCACTCAAAACTTTTTTCCTGCCTCAAAATCAAAAAGTTTCGCTTCGCAAAAAGATTGAGAGGTGGCTGGTTGCCTTTTTGAAGGGGTTAATACAGTGGGTTATCGGTAGGGAGGACTTTCCTTGGAAGTGATTTCTATACATTTATCTTTATAGACTAATATTTTACTTAATTAGTTGGACTTTATGATTTTTTAATCATTTAAATAATATTTAAAAGTGATTTTTGGTTTTCCACATGGTTTTCGAAGTTTCTACTTTCATACTTTTCATCAATCACATATCTTTCTAATAGTCTGCTTTTATCTCAGTTTACTGTAGTGAAAGTCGTAGGTCGTGGCTGCATCTTTTGTTTGAGCAGCACCAAAAAGTGCAAGTGCCTCAGCTGGTGGATGTTGGTCGTGCTTCTGGTGCTGTTTCCACAGAGGCTGCTCCTGTCATGCATGCCAAGTTTCTTTTTATTCAAAAATGTTTGTGGGCGTCTTTGCAGTTTTCTTTCATCTTGGGTTCGTTGCTGCTGCTGCCGCTGCTGCTGCTTCTGCTCCGTTTCTTGCACGCTTTTCCAGATTTTCAAGCCAGCATTTGCCACCCACCCCTCGCCGTCGCCAGCCGCTGTTCATTTTGGCCTGCCGCAAACGCAGCACGCACTTAACTTTGCCAGCTACCACAATGCTGCGGTGAAACTCATTACGAGCTTAGAATGCAAAAACGAAACCCAAGCCCCCACAAAATGCAGCAGCAGGAGCAGCAGCGGCAGCTGCAACAAAGTCTGTTGCACACTCATTGAAAAAACAAAAACCGAGTGCGGCACCCACATGCAGGGGCCATCACACAGATTTTATGTTGTTTGCTCAAGTTTTATATGAATCTTAACGAAGGCAAAGAACTCGAATTGAGCTAATGATGTGTAAATTAAAACTCTACCCCCAATTAAATAAATAAATTTCAGCGAGTCGGTGATTAGAGATGCTTTGTGGTGTTTAGGCAAATAATTTACCTCAGAGAGGGAAATGAATTTTCAAATGCTTTAATTATTTAAGCACACATTGTAGTTATTATGAAGTACGGAAATTACATTTAGTTAAAGGAAAATATTACAGAACAAAATTCACAGCGATTAATATTTTATGGGATGTGTAGAAAACATTTTAATTAGCTTCTCATGTTTTCCCACTGCCTTTCGAGCAAAATAACAAAACAATACCTTTAAAAACTGAACAATGCGAGTAAAATACAATGAGATTTTAGGGGCTGCGACTCGAATTTCACTCTTGAATAGGTCCTTAATTCGGGGAAATTTCCATCTTACCTTCTCTGAGAGGAACACCCAAAAAAATGGCGAATTTCCATTGCTTGCTCTAACATCAAATATGCAAATCGCATTACTAACAAGTGAGCTTTACAAATTTCGTTTCGCGCATGTTAATTAAAAAAGAAAAAAGGAAAATCCTTGCATGAAGGTACACATGTCAACGAATGGCATGAAGAAAACTAATCAAAGAAAAATCTTTTTTAAACGGAATGTCTCTTCCAAGCGAAGAGTTGCATGAAAACTATTTTAAAAACCAAAATATGAGAGGAAAAAGTTTTTAATAAAAAGCAATACGAAACATTTGTGCACTTTGACAGCAGCAACATGAAACGCAAAAGCAGCTGCCGCATCAACGACAACTGTCTCAAAGAGGAGCCGCACTTCAGCAGCAGAGTTCCAAGCGAAGGAAGCCAGGATCAGGATCTGCGGGTGGAGCAGGAGCAGGAGGAAATGGTGGTTCCGGAGGAGCAGCAACTACAACAGCAACTGGAACTGGAGTTGGACCGGCAACAGTGCGGCGACAAGTTTCTTGGGGTCCACCAATCGTGGCCGAAACGGATGTGGATTTGGCCAACAGCAACACCAGCTCAAACAACAGCAATGGAAATCGCAAAGCGGGTGGCAAACAAAACGGATACCATGGCGTCAATAGACGGGCCACCACCACCAGAAACTAAAGGCAAAAAAAAAAAACGAGAAACGCCAAACGAGACGAATGCAAAAATTGTGTGCCAGAAAAGATGTATAAAAGCATAAATATTTAGGCAAATTGATGGCAAGACAACAGGGCTAAAGTAAACAAAGCACAAAAGGCAAGAGAGCCAAAAACAAAAGCAATTTGTATAAATAAAAGCAAGTCAAAAGTGCGACAGAGACAAAGGCAAAACAAATAATATAAATTGAAAAGAGGCAAGTCCTTGGTTCGTTGTGTATAAAGAAAACTGTCTGCCCATCGACATGAATATTCCTCAAAACGACACAAACAAAATATGAAAATGGGAAACTTTTTGCATCAAATGTTGCAAGAACTTGATTTAAATATGGCTAGGAATTTAAGACTTTGGGAAAAGACATTCATTCCTTACAAAAACCAAAACTATTCTTAGAATTAGTTAGAAATATGCTTCTTACATTCCATTTTAAAAAGTTTTAAGCAAGTCAAAGTAAAAAACCAAATTAATTTTAGCTTAGCCTTGAAGTTTTTGATAAATTTTAAGATTTTTCAAGTATTTTTGTGTAATTAAAGTAGCAGCAGAAAGTGAAATAAGAACTTAAAAGTAACCCTCATGTAAATTGATAATTTTAAAGTTAAGCACGAAATTGCTTTTGCTGCACTGCAAAAGTTGCCTCCATTAAGTTTTAAGAATTGCACAACTTTCATGCTTTCACTTTTTTTTGCAATTCCCCTCCCTTTTTTCTTTACCGTGTGATATACGAAGGTAATAAAAGTTCTTTTGGCCAGGAAATGAGAACACAACTTTAGCTTGTTTCATATTAAATGATGAGAAATTACGCAGAATAACTCGTCCATACATCAATTCATTTAAATGCGTTTATTAAAAAACTTTCCACTAGCAAAAAGCTGACAACAGCAACAGCAATGAGAAAGCAGCTTTATCGAGATTGATACAACAACAAGGAGCGATGAAGTCGGAGAAGATGGAAAAAGTAAAGCTCACATAATGGCACTTCAATATGTGAAGGAAAAGCAAGGGAGAAACTGAGGGGATAGAGTGTATATCATAGAGGGAAAATTGAGGATTTCATAAGGGGAGTGACGGTTACCAACAGCTTGTTAGTGGCTTTGTTGGTCAGTACTTTTAACTAATGTGTTTTGTGCGACCATAGAAAATCTCAAGTACTCATGGACGCACACACACACTCCCATGCACTGGCTCTCTCACATATTTGATGTACTTAACGTGTGCACTAAGAGAAAAAATGAGTAAGACAAACATTATTTAAGTTCTGATTCTTACAGCCTTCAAATCTCCTGTCTCCCCTAACTTGTCTTACTTCATCTCCTTAAATATCATTTATAATATCAAAAATACTTTTTCCGAGTGTACTTTCTCCAACTACGCTCACTTTGTAGGGTGCCATTGGAACCGCAAGGGGTGTATACGTGTCTGTGTTCTGGAATAGGGGAGCTTATGTAGCTAGTCTGTCGCTGGGCTTCCCTTGAGCTCCTTTAGTTTTGGCTCTGGCCTGCATAAAATAACCGCATAAAATGTCGTTAAGTATAACGAAATTGAGTCTGCACATAAATTCAGATTATGAGATTAAAATGTTGTGATTTTCGCACATAGAAACGGGTTTGGGCAGGCCAAACCCTTTTTCTTGTTGTTGTTTTTGTAATGAAAACCCCAAAAAGTACGCCAAATATTTTGGGTTAGAGAATTCGCTGGAATAAGCAATAGCTGCTGCCCCATCAAAAGTGGCAACAACATCAACAGCAGTCAAGCCAATGTAATGAGTTTATATCGCCCTTTTGCCCTGAGGCATAAATTTATGAAAAAACAACACAGTCGAGGCGTACAGTGGAATGAATTTGAGCTGATTATGTTAATCAGATGGAATATAAGTAAAATAAAGATGGAATGAAGAGCATTTAAAGGATAAAGGATGTTCTTAAAGTATTTTAATAAGTTAAAAAGTACTTTGATGTGTGTTTTATTCTCCATTTTGTGATATAAATCTTAATCTGAAAAGGAAAGTGCCTTAAGAAACTCTCTCTTAGAAACATTATATAAATCATAGAACTATCATAGGTTTTCGTTTACTCGACTAAAACCTCTTTCGTTCCACTGTCACCCTGACGAATAATAAAGAAGTTGCGGTTGTGGCTGGCGATCAAAGTCAAATATTTGGCTTGGATGTTTACAAATTGGGTCAGCTGGTCATTTGGGCTGGCCGTCGGCTAAACAGCTCCTCTTCAAAAATGTTACGCTGTGAATTTCCCAAAAATAGAGACCGTGGATCTCAGCTGTCGCTTCATTATGATGCTAATTGCTGGGACACGTCGACCGAAAGGATTAGCAGCATGTTTAGTGTACGTAATGGCATTCGATGAGACCGCAAAACCATGACAAGAAAGAACATGAGAAAACAAGAGCAATGGTCCTTGGTGGCCATAAACAGTTTAGTTCGACTTAATCCGGTTGTATATCCGGATTAGCGACCAGGAATGCCATCAAGGAGTACTTTTTTCGCTATTCCACCAAGAAATTTACGACACTTTTTAGGTAATGAATGGTTTTACATTTTTTTAATCCAACACCGCCCGTGAGTTGTAAAAAAATTAGTGACGAAAAAAAACTGCATTCAGGTCAGTTTTTGGCCCGCGAAACCGATTGACCTGCGACCATGAATGGGCAGGTCAAAAAAAAGGATTGCGTATAAAATAAGCCAGCAGCGCTGATGCAACCAACAAACGCAGTCAAGCCATCAATCAGTCAAGATGTATTGCAAGATGCAGAACAAGGAAGTCAAGAAGGAGTCTCTACATAATCCCTCCCAGAATCCAGGGAAATCTCTAACAAAATCCCCCACCGCGGCATATGCAATGTTCATGCACCGCGAAGAGTTGAGGAGGAGAAAAATCCAAGTTTCCCGTGTTTCTGTCACCAAAATCCATCTGACTAGCGAGCTAATCGCTCGGACTAAACAGAATATCCTGCAGTGCAGCTCCGAGGATCTAGAGATTCTGGCAAGGGAGACGCTCTTCAAGAAGAATCTTCAAAGGCATTTGTACTATCGACGCATGCAGATCCATCAATGGATGATGACCAGGAAGAAGCAGCAATCAAAGGATAAGAAATGATTGAATATATAGTAACTTAATACAAAAACAGCAAAAGTGATTATTAAATAGTTTATATAGTGTTAAATAAATTAAGAATAATAAAAACTACAAAAATTAGAACGTGAGTTGACTTTATTAGAAGAAAAAAGTGAAACGGCTCAAAGCAAAAGTCTACCAAAACATCTTTAAAATTCATAAAAATAGACATAACCTTTTAAAATAAACGTCTCCAGCCATTACAATTAAGAATATCTCAGATCTCAACCAAAAGATAGTGTTAAACCCAAACTAAAACTTAAATTAAACTTCAAGTCATTTGTAAAAGGCGAAGCAGAAAAGGGAAAATGGCCAACACTTTCACAACTTATCTTTGGCCCCGGCAAAAGTGCAATTTTCCATTTAAATATTTGATTATATATACGAACGTATTCCCCAGTCGTAATTGTCAGGGAGCCAGAGTGTCGGCGTCGACCTGCACTTGTAATGGGTGTAAAAACAAATTTGCACATGATTACCAAAAACCCGGTCGGCAAAACTGCGAACATTTAATACAACTCAAACAAAATGGGGCGTTGCATAAATTTGAACAGGCGGGGTGTAGAAAAATTCTTGCCTTTTTAGACTACATAAATTTTAATTAAATGTCACTCATACGCCATGTACGACAAGCACAATGTGGAGCTAAGTGTGAAAGTGTGCGTGCAACTGAGTGGCACGGGCTGTTAGTATGTGTGTGAGTGAGGGGTGCGACAAATGAATGCACATGAAAGTGGTGCACGAATTACAGTTTATTGAACAGCAACACCAGCAGGAGCCAGGCGAAGGGATAAAGGACGAAGGACAATGGCGACGAGAGTGGAGCTCATCTAAAGCGAAGCGTAAAAACAAAAGCAGGACACCAAGGAGTCTGAAATGGGCGAGACTTTTCACTACTCGGCAGCTGCGAATTTTTCGCAATTTTCAACAAATTTATTTTATGGTTTTTAGGGAATTTTTATAGGGAAAATAATAATTTTTAGACTGTGTTAAGAAATAAAGGTCCTTTTAATTTCATAAAATTCATGAAAACCGAATTCAGAAAACATAAAATAGAAACTAAAAGAACAGAAGCCAATTGCCTTGGTTACTTGCCAGCTAGCTCTAATTATTTTTTTGTGCTAATTTCCTTTTTTTTTTGGGAACTTTTTGTGTGTCTAACAGTTTGTTTGTTTCCATTGGTGGCGAAACTGCGGCGTTTCCTTTTTCCGTGCATTTTCATTAAACTTTTACAGCATGCATTATTCATGTTCTACAACAATTGCCATGGTCCAGCAGCATCGCCATCATCAGCAGTTTGGCGGAAAAGGAAAAAGCTACCCCTCATCCTAGACTTCCTCCTGTGCTTAATGAAAACCCATCAGGGGCAACATCATCTTTCGCTGCCATTTGCCACTCGAAACTTTTTCAATAATTTCAACATATGTATGCTCCCTGGCTTTCTTGACAAATTAACTCAAGTGCGCAATGAAGTGTTTATTGTGCTGGAAAAACTTTTTCCGACGTCCGACGTTGAACTTAAGGCGTTGTCAGGAAAAAACGCGGAATATACTTATGTTTACTCACTGATTTCTGACGAAAGTCGCGGAGAAAGTGAAGGCATTTATCATACAGTGGATACTTTTTGAATGAAAACCTAATTGGAAAACGAAAACTTTTCTTAACAATTTTCTTATTTGTGGTTTATTTATTTCTAAATATAAAAAGATAAGGTATATACGAAACTCAGATAAATTTAGATACAATATTTATTTATTAATATTAAAATTAATATTTAAATATTCCCAAAAAATCGTATAAAGTCCCCACTGTTAAGCAAATGCAATGGCAGAGCGTAATCGTCATGGTGGCTTAAAGCAATTTGTTATTAATTTCCGCGTTGAAAAGTTGAAAAAAAGCAAAGTTTTTCTTTCTCCTTTGTTTCGTCTTTTTCGCTTTTCCCTATATATATATATATATATATATTCCCGAACTTTCCATCTCTTTTGCTCTGCAGCAATGTCTCAATGCCACTTGGCATTCATTTAATGCGAAAAGTTATTGTCGTTTTTTTTGTTCTTGTTGTCGTTTCTGTTGTTGCCACATTAAAACATGGCCCATAATGGTTAACAAGGCATTTGCTTGTTGGCCATCGACCAAAAGAGCAGCAAAACTTGTGCTTACATTGTTCAACATGTGTAATAAATATATTTTCAACGCCCTTCCATCCTTCTACCCTTTGAAAGTGCGTGAATGTATGGATATGTATGGCTGCGGGAATGTTCGCTATTGTTGTGGGTTTTTAATACATACAAAAAATACAACTATAGTTTATAATATATAAATCTTATTAACTCAAAGAGAGCATAGTAACTCAAAGCGAGGAAGCAATATTATTCTAAAAATTAACAAACCTCACCAGAATAATTTGGTCAATTTCAAATGTCTTTCTAAATGTCTAAACTAACTAGTAACCACTTTATAATAAATTTTACAAACTCCCTATAATATTATACAACATTTTTCCCAGTACAGCAGGTAATAAATTGGAATATTCCACCTTTGGATGATGACTGGGCTCAAAGTACATAATACAAACATATTCGAAATGCATGCGCCGCGACGTATGCAATGAAAAATGTCAGAAGAACAATGTTAATATGGCTACCGAAGGTATCCCATCAGGCGAGGGGGGCGTGGCAGGCTGAGAGGGGCCAAAGGAAGTGTGTCAGTGTCAGTGTGCTGCATGAAAGTGCAAGTTTTGCTTATTGTTTCCACGGCTGCCACTGCCCCAGTGCCAGTAACCTTCAGCCAAGAACAATAAAATTGCACCAAACTGAAACTGAAATGGGTCCCATGCAAATGTGAATTGGAAAAGTATGAAAAGCGCAGGCGAACGCGAATGCCAGGGAAAAATAACATTTTAAATGCTTTTCTCTTATACACGAAGGGCAAAGAGTTTGTCAGTTTGCTGATTTACTTTGTTAACTGAGATAGTTTTGAAATTAACAATTTCAAAAAGTTTCTTTCTAAAAAGCTTTCGTAGATCTGTTTCTGATTCTATCTAAAATAATCTGTTTTTCTTTATTATATTTGCTGATATAATATTTATATTATATATATATATAAAATATCTACTAAAATTTGCATATTTTTTCATACTTACCTTAGTTTAGGATATTTCCCACGTCGTCAGTCCCGAAATTTCCCACAACTTCCTCCATTGGGAGTATGTAAATGCATTGCTGTCGCTTGCCCAACACATTTGCACTTGACTGAAACGCGTTAGCCGCTTTCCTTGCAGTTGATTTTTGGGCAGATGCTGACGATGCCACGCCCCTTTCGAGGGCTCGGGGGAATAGAGAGGCGTGGACGTGAGGCATGAGTTGTGAGGCTGCCATAGAAGTGACTAGCGGGTTTCGTGTAACCAAGACACCATCCGGGAACTGACGTGGCGCCTTTGTTGGCCAGAGCCTTGGGGCGAGCTTATGGGGCACGAAAATGGATTTTAGACGGGGTGTACCGTCCAGGCAGGACGTGATGCACCATCCTGAATGCAATACAGGTGAAGCGCACACAAAGCACTCTCACAAACACCGAGTCACACGTAAAAAGTTCACTGAGAGAATGATAAGCATATGAAATGCTAAAATAGATGTTTTCCCTATAAAAAAGAGTTTTTTTTAATATAAATATTTACATTTTAAGTACTTAACTTGTTAAGTTTCTCCATTTATTACTCATTATTTCTTTATTAAACACTATAAACTCCTTCCTATCATACTTTTTTTTGGATATAAGCCACTTAAAGTTTATTCATTTCAGTCTTCAAGATTAATCATAAATCTGAGAGCCACTTAAATTTTTAGGTGTACACTTTCATGTCAGTTCAGTGGATTTATATTAACAGCATAAAGTGCCAAATCACGACAGGTGCCAAAATCCCGTAAATAAAAAACGAAATAAACTTTTGCCAGCGGCAAAAGCAGCTTGAATAACCGCCATAACCCCTTCCTCCACTCCTCTCTCTGTTCTATCTCTCAAAGCCTTTAAATAATTATAAAACTTTATCTCTTCTCTGGACACACACACACACACACGAACACCAACACCAACCTCTCACCAACGTCCATGTCCATTGAACGTCACTTTGACTAAAGCCAAATAGAATTAAACCCTGAAAAATATTTGATCTAAATTCCTGAACCTCTCCTCTTTGCCCCTGCATCTGTCTCCCTCGTTTTCCCCGTCTCCCATCCAATGTCCCTGGTGCCATTTTCATGCCCAATCTCCCCCAGAAAGCGCAGCAGCAGCAGCAGGAGCAGCCACAGCCACATGGACACAAATCCCGCCACAAAGCGACCGATGACACAGAGGATCCAGAGCAGCAAAAGTCCTTTGATGTAGCCACAAATGCCAATGCGCGAACAGGGTCCACCCTGCCACCGAATCGAGTGGAAAATCCAGAGAAGCCGGATGGCAAAGCAGCCCCATTGGTGCCGATGCGACGGCATCACTCGAAAGTGACACCCCCACACCCGCCGCCGACGACGTTTTTCCTGGATAACTCCCTGATGCAGCGCCAGTTCGCGAATCCAATTAGTTACTTGGGTGGACCACGACTGCAGCCGCGTAGTAATCGTACCAGCATCGACTCGATATTATCGCTGGATTAACGCCGCAGCCAGTTTTCCGACCACCCCTAGTCATCCAACTCCCTCTTGGAAAGCCTCGCAGACTAGTCACAAACTGTCAACTGGTGGGCGGGAAAACCCCCCAGTGGATTCTTTTCCCCGTTGCCACAACCTCAACTTAGAAACTCAAAGTCGGTTAGTAACTTTGCAAATTGTTAGTTAGATTTTAGGTAAAATAAAAATGAATTGTTTAACTATTTTTCTTTTGCTTTTACTTTTTGTAACCAAAATTCAAGGGTAAGAAAAGTAAAGTAAGTTCCATGACTAATTTTCTCAAACAAATATTTTTAAAAAAAATCTTATGATGCTTTTATTTTATATGAACTATAAATATCTAAACATTCTCTAAAAGATAGTTCTATCTTGATTATTTATATTGAAATTCTATAACTAATTGGAGTTGATGACCTCTTCTTTTTCAATAAAGAAAAACTAAGACATGCAGACAAAAATATATTTGACTTTCCGAACCATGATTAAAACTTAAAGACTTTCAAGATAATCCCCCCAATAAAAACAGTCATTTCGTATTTATAAATATTTATTTGATTAAATTAAAATTCTGCATATTTTGCCACTTTAGATCGCTTAGTCATAGGCGTTTACTTTTCTTTTAACTTAGCTTAACGATCTGCGCAGATGGCCTTACAATAAATTGTATTTTAGCTTACGCTTACGATGAGTTTAAATCCCGCCCTTTGATTACTGATTTATCCCCCCGTTTAGCTTAAACACTACATATAGGGGCCGATCGATCAGGGGGACTGATGGAGGGGCGGGGGATTGTGAAAACCGTGGCACATAGCTCAGAGGCCGTGCTCGGGCGGCAGGATGAGACGACGCTAGGTAAAATCCGGCGGCTTGTACTTCGGCGGTCGCTTAATTGGTTTCTATAACCAATTGCGGCCGCCACGTCATATGTTGTTCTCCTTGGCGCCCTTGGAACCGGCACCGGAACCAGATCCTGAACCGGATCCGGCATTAGCTGTCGCTCCGGCGTCATTATCGCTCTTGTTGTTACTGTTGTTGTTGCTGGTGCTGTTGGTATTGGACGCCGTGGATTCCTCACCATCAGCTCCATCGCCTATAAGCAGGATAATAATGTTATAGAAGGTTTTCAATTTTATAATAAGTTATCAGAACTTGGTAAGGGGTTGTCCTTAGATCAAGTACTCTAGTTCCATTAAGCTCACTCACCCTTTTCCTTTTCATCCTTGATCTCGCTGGACGTCTCCGAGGAAGCCTTGTTGCTGTTGGTGTCCTTATCCAGACGCGGACGCTTCCTTTGGCCCTTGTACGTCCTGTTATCTCTGCGACCGCCCTCGCCTTCATCCTCTGAATCCGAGTACTCGTTCTCTGGCACAATGCGCTTGTCCTTGTCGCTCTGGGGCAAGCGATCGTCCTTGTCGACCTTATCCTCATCATCAGACTCATCGTTGATGGCATCTTCGGGTATCGCCTGGATTTGAACGCCTGGAGCATGAGGTAGCATGCGCAGATTCTCGAACAGACGGTTCTTGATCTTTTCCAGGTACTCGGAGGTATTCTGATTTGTCATATTACTGGGACTGATGTGCAGTTTGAAATCAGGACCAAAGTACTCGAAGTAATCGTTGTACGGCAGTTCGTTGGCAATTTCCACGGCCAGTGCTACGGAAGTCTCATAAGTCCAGCAGCGGGATACGTTACGAATGGTATAACCTCCACCGCCGACCATCAAGAACGGCAGATTATACTTCTTCACGAACTCTACGCACTTGCCATGGCCCTTGACCGTGAGATTGAAGCATCCCAATCGATCGCCAGTTAGGGAATCGGCGCCACATTGCAGGACCACTGCTGCCGGCTGGAATGTTTCCATCACCTTGCTGATAATGGGCACAAAGATACTTTCATACGCATCATCATCCATGCCATCACGCAGGGGTATGTTCACCGCATAATATTTTCCCTTACCGGCACCAATATCTCGAAGGTCGCCAGTGCCGGGGAAATACTCTCCGTACTTGTGGAAGCTCACGGTCATTACACGATCGGTGGTATAGAACGCCTCCTCAACGCCATCGCCATGATGGACATCTATATCTATGTAGAGAACACGCTGGTGGTACTTCAGGAGCTCCAAAATTCCCAGTACAATATCATTGACGTAGCAGAAGCCGGATGCCTCTGATTTCTTGGCATGATGCAGGCCACCGCCCCAGTTGATGCAAATTTCCGAGGCCTGTTTGTTCAGCTTGACGGCTGCTGCTACGGATCCTCCGGCGGAGAGTTGGCAAAACTCGTACAGTCCATCGAAGACTGGACAATCTTCGCCTACATTGAAACGCTGCATCTGCTTGTTGTACTCCGACATGTTGTCTGGCCGAATGGATCGCAGGAACCGGACGTACTCGTCCGAGTGGAACTTGGTCATCTCATCGGCAGTGGCTTTATGAGGGCGCTGAAATAAGGAACTTTATTTATTAAATGTTCCACTAAGTAGTATATCTTTAGAATAGACACACATAAATTTTGTTTCAACTTATTGGACTATAAAGATCCTGTATAAATATGTAACTTACGTAAATCTCCATTTTTCGGTAGAGCCCATAGTTGAGCAGGAGGTTGTGGGTCATGCGTATGCGGTGGGGCTTCATGGGATGACCCTGGCCATAGTAGTAATTGCCAATGTCACCTGGGGATCAAAAATCACGATTAGTAGATGCTTGAAAGAACAATTAATTGCCACGCTATGCGAAATACAAATTTTACGGCTACTGTCGGCAAGGCGTCTGCCGCAGAGCAACACTTTTCCCGAACGACCACTGAGGGCGCACTTTCGCCCCGAACGAAAAGCAACAAAAAACACAAAGAGGAGGAAGAGAGACCTACAGGTACATACACACACAAGCATACCATTTTACTGCGGTCGTATGGAGAAAAGAGCGCTGTGAACCGGAACGCGCTCGTACAGTCGCCGTAAAACTTGAAATTTGCAAAAATGCTATCATCTGATGCTGAGTTGATGCAGAAAAAAAACATAAGATCGGCGTGGAAAACATGACTACTATTTTGAAATAGTGTTTTCTCTGTTTATATGCCGTAGTACTTTATTTAATTGTTTAAAACTTACTATCGTAGTAATAGCAAACGCGTTTTTTGCTATGCGACTGCATTTTGCGGCGCTGACGGCGGCTTTAAATTTCCTTTAAACTAATGCTGGTCGGTTCTTAGAACCGATTCCTTTCTGACCGGGAAGGACCCGAATAATGAGGAGATTATAAATCGACACCGCTGACACTTCTGCCCAAGTTTTAGCCAAGAACAGGAAAATACGCGCACAAAATAAAAGTTGGTACCAACAGTGTGGCCAGATGAAGAAGCGGACTTTATCCATAATATCTGTAAGTTTCATCCTAAATAGAGAGACGAATTTCAGGTATCACTAATATAATATTTACGCCAAAAACAAAACTCACATTAAAAATAAAGTTTTATAGTCCTTATTTATTTGTAAATAACATATTTTAAGCTCACAACGCTAAAAAGAATATGTTGAATTGTTAGCATTTCAACAGAAAAACCATGGCGCCATTGCGGTCAAGTCAGAAACTGTTATGTAGATAATATGTAAACTAAATAAATGTACAGTTAAAAACCCGCTAAAAATCGATATCCAAACCCTTTGAACAGAATTATGAAAATATCGATATCATATGCCCCAAGAGTTTCTGCCCCTGTCACTGCTATCATAATATTTTATCCCAAAATGTTAACAATATTGCAGCAGAAGAAAATAACCTCTGTAAATATATCGTTTATACATCGAAGGTGTGAAATCGATTTAAAAACATCGACCAACATTCATCGAACATTTCTCACCACCAATAGAGTGGAAGAGAGTAAAATCAAAGAGAGTAATTTACAGAGGCCACTGTCTTCTCAATTTTCCTGCTCATATTTTCTTACTGAGTACTTCCATCTCACTCTAAAATTCACCGCTAAACGATTCGGACGCGTTTTCCAGCGTGGGTGATTTTCGGTCGGCGTTTTCGGCGGCTTCTAATCGACAAACAATAAATAAGTTTTTGCAGTGCTGAATTAAAGGCGATTGTTAAATTAAAAAAAAATAATTAAAATCGGCGACGCGTAAGTTTTCAACTCCCACTGCCCGAGTGTGCGTGTGTGCCTTTGTGTGTGTAAAAAAAGAGAAAGAAGAATGGAGTTGCAGTGGAAACACAAACACGCTCTCGCTCCATCTCCCTCGCACACACACACTCAATTGGGCGAATGAAGAAGTGGAAAAATTAAAATCGAAATAAAGTGACAAAGCGGAGTGGCCAATAACAAAAAAAAACGAGAAAAATGAACCCAGTGCCAATAAAAATTTTAAATAGTTTTTAATAGACGGCTAAAATATCCTGCGCAGCTTTTCTCTTTTTTTTCTCCCGGAAGAGCCTTTTCTTGTCTCTCTCCCCCTTGCAGACCAACGCCTCTCCCTGCAACTTTCTGTTACTTTTTGTTAACTTCTTCCCCTTTTCCATTTATTTTTTCTTTATTGTTGTTGTTGTGCCCGCAGGATATTTAAGACCTTTTTTTGCTGGCGTTTAATTATAGTTTTTATCCTCCTCTCTTTCTCGCATCTCTTTTTCCAATTAGCGCCGAACTTCGGCGCAAAGTAAAAGCAAAATCAAAAAATCTCATATTTGTTGTTTTTATTTGGCCCGCAGACCGTGAATTAAAAACAACACCAACTTTAACTACAGTGGCAGGCGTAACTGTGAATTCCACTTTTGATAGCATATAAAAAGAAGTTTTGATTTATTCTAATTAAAAAAGGTAAGTGCGATAAAAAAAAACCGGATTATAGCTCCTTTTCATTCGCACCTCCTTGGCCCGAAGTGCCGTTAAAAAGAGAAGCCAATGAACGCAAATAAGTAAACACAAAAACTAAAAAAAAGAGTGAGATTTGCTCTCCCGCTGCATTTCTATTTATGCTTTTGCTGCTTCTGATAAAATGTACAGTAAAAAGTCCAAAAATGAAATTAAAAATGTATTTATAACGATCTTAAAATTTGAACTTATTGCTTACTTTAAATAGTAATATAAGAAAATATTCTAATTGTAAATTTAGATTTTAAAATATTTTTTATGGACGTATAAACTTCAGAAAAAACTTTCCAATCGGTAAAATGGTAATATTTTTTTAAGTTTTTTGAGTTTGAAATTAAGTTTGATGTAAAATATTAACATATGTAAAAAAAAATGCAGTCTCATTTAAAAAGATAATGCTTGGTTCACTGCACCAAGTTTTCACTGTATTTATTTATTCATTGCTCCGGCTGCTGTAAAAAAGTCAAAGAGCATTTCTGGTTGTTGTTGTTGCTTTTGTAATTGCCTTTAATTTGTGTGGAGTAAGAGGCGGAGGAACGAATGGGGAGAGGGAGAAGAAAACGTTGAAGAAGAAGCTGAAGAGCAGCAGGCGTCGGCGCAGCAGCTGCTCCTTCTCTCCTTCTCGCTCTCTCTTATGTTTTATCCCTTGTGCGCTATTTTCGGCATTTTGTGCTTATTTATTTACCTTTTGGTGCCTTGTTTATTAAGCCCCCTTTCCATCCCCTCTAAATCGCTCCATGTGCTTTGAAGTTCAAGCCACAAAATTTGTTTTTACTTTTTTATTTGTTGATTTGTTTTTGGTATTTTTGTAGCTTATCTGTTGCAGTAAAGTTCTTCCCTTACTCCAAAAATAAAAACCCTTCAATTAACATTGCTGCCTTCTGTTTTCTGTCTCTGCTACTTCTTTCCTTTTCTCCACATTGTGTGTCTCTTTATTTCTCCTTTTAACTTTTTGTGGCCAGCCGCTGATAAAGACCACGAATAGTTTGTCTTTGCTTCACATTTTTTATTTACAGTGGCTATTGAGTAAAAAAACTCAAAATATAGGAAATTCAAATTTTCAAGAAAAGCAGAAATTGACTTAGTTTAAACTCGATTTAATTATTATATTTAAAGAACTCTACTATTTCCAATTAAAAAAACCTAATTTAATTTTTTTTATTATAAAAATTAACGAACACTATTACTGTTATTCACTGTACAGATTTATTAGGGCCTCTTCTGCAGTCTCTTACTCTTTAACCCTTGATTGGTGAGTGGGAGTTTCAGTGGAGATTCATTTGAGTGCAACTGGGCAATTATGCTTTTTGGCCTCTGCCCGCTGTTATGCCCCTCTGCTTTTCCCCTCCGTTTTAGGCTCCCTTTTGACCCCCTCTTAAATCATTGCAAAATGGCAATCGCAAAATGCTCTCAAACAAGTAAATCTGCTTAGCTTGACTAACGGCAAACTTGTTGAGATCTTTTCATTTCTCTATTTTGCTCGTAGTTCGTTTGCTATTGTTGTTTTTCGCATTTTCTATTTTGCACACAAAGCGTTTTACATGATACGACCACAAAGGCAAAAGGCAATCAAAAAGAGGAGACGGGCAAGGGAAAGAAGGGGATAACACAGCGTGGGAGGTGCAATAAGGAGAATCCGAACGAATAAAAAAGTAGTCAAAGCAAAAGAAGTGGAGGAAAAAGAAGCAGCACAAGTAGAAAACTCAATTGTTCGCCACTCTCTTTGGGCTCCTCCTTTGTTCCTTTTCCCTGCCAGCTGTGCGTGTGTGTGCGTGTGTTTTTGTCCACTTAGCCAGCAAACAATGCACACAGCAGCAGCGTTTTATTGATAAGAAGTGAACAGAAGAAGAGAGTGTAGAAGGGAAACAAGAAGGCGAGAAAAAGTGGAAAGTGCGTGGCAAGTGCGACAAAAAAGAATTAATGTAGAGATGATTGCTTGAGTGGAGAGAATTTAAAGTGGATTTTCCATTTTAGTATATCTTATTTCAGAAAAATGTTTAGATTTTAAAATGTTTTTAGTTTTTATGGGACTTTTAAAAACTATAAGGGCTAAGATCCCAAAAATATACCAAAAGCCGAAATGATTTTCCAATAATTAGAGAAATCACATAACAAGACCATTTGGATGTTGTTTTTGTATCATTTTGATTATTAATAATTTAATTTTGACATTGATTTCAAAAAAGAAAAACGAAAGCCATCTTATGGTAACAACGCCATCCTACATTTGATTTTGGTCTTCAACTGTATATCGTCCAGAATAAAGTCCATGTGGGGAGCGAAGGTAAACAGCATTTTGTATAAACAGCGTCTTACGGCTAACATTAGAAGCTCATGACTGCCGCACAGTTTTCTACGCTCCCTTGCCTGTATTTCCTGGGCCGTAATCAACTTTTCCTCCACATTTAATAAACGCGCTAGAATACGACTTAGATCGCTTTGAATATAGCCAAAAGTGTCTTCTTTTAAGGATCTTACGCAGATGCTAACGAGTCCTTGAAGAATCCATACCAAAGGCTCTGCACATCGCAGCTCATGATTAAGTTGGGCCATTGGGTCTGGGTCATTCCAAAAGTGATAGTACCGCGGAATCACTGGTAATCTAGCCCATAAAAAATTTCCAAGGCGTTGCTTCCTATCGCTTAGATAATTTTGCAGATTACAGAAACACCAAAACTGTTGGAGCTTCTGACAGTTATGAAGACGTTTGCATATAGGACACGTCCCTCGCGGCGGAAGAGTTGGTTTTACCAATGGACGAATTCCCGTTTTTTTGGGAACTTGATTCTTCAGCAAATTGCAGACCTTTGTGAGAGGAGCCCTGTCCATACAAGAATCCATTCTGGCCAGAAAATTGTCCACCATTTCCAGTATAACGTCAAGTAACTCATCCCAATTTCTATCTTTTTCAAAACATTTCATTTTGTATAACTCAGAGCATAAACTGCCCGTCATGGCGGCATAAAAATCACGGGCTGCCAGTAATTGAAAGCCATAGATTTCCGTAGTATCCACAGCCATGGCGATTGGTAGGGAAAGATTGTAGCGTTGGGTATCTGGTGGCATAGGTTTCATTCGCATCATGCAGAGAAAATATTGAAATCGTTCCGTTATCAAATCGATTATATTAATATCTAGATACTCGTGCAGACGCCTTGAGTCATTAATTAAAGATAATTGTCGCTGCATAATAAGGCTATAAACCTCTCGAGCTACGTGTAATTTAGCCAGGATCAAGGTGCACAACAACCAGCCTTGAAAAAGTTGTTTGGGTTGCGTTATGATCACAGCATAACCAGTAATGACTCCATTTATTTTATTACTTTCCCAATAACCCATACATGGCCAGTAAATCAGGGCAAATAACAGAGTTGGAACAAAGGCTTCTTTTCCAGAGTTTTTCAGTCGATAACACCCGATTTCCAGAAGGCGTTCTCTTATATTAAGATGAACTATGGGTAATGGAAATCTTTTTAAGCATTTACCATGCTGCCTATGAAAATAGGAAATGCCACAAAAGCAGCCAAAGGTCATTAGATAATACCAGGATCCTCCCAACGAGTCATTTTCATAAATTAAATCCACAAATGATGCATAAAGCCAGCTGCTTACAATTGATGTTGAAATAATTGATGAAAATATAAGAAATCTTATTGGGAATTCCTTGACCATCCTCGAAAGTCGGTATCTGTAGCAATGGGGATTGTCATAATGCACGTGGCACAACATCAAGCCATAGCCAACAATGCCCAATCGTATAAGCAACATAAATATCGATGTATACGCGGAGAACAAGGTCCATCTTAAGATCTCGTTGAGGGAAATCAGAGGATTCCTCACCTCAAATAAATTTACGCATAAGAAAATCGCCAGAATCTGATAATCCATCCAAGAGCATAGTAAAGTGGCAAATAGAAAACGATATAGCAATATCTTCTTGATCTTTCGGGGTAACATAAGGTAGTACTGGGGCACAAAGCCAGTGGTCTCCACATCCTCTTCCAACATTTTTGCTTGGAAAATAATAGATTTGATTTGGTGACAAGTTGATTTTATGTACTACGCCTGCTTGGCTGCAACTTGTAACCTTCTTTCTGTCAGTTTACTGTCTCAATTGACATAGTTCCCAAGTCGGTTGGCTTGGTCATCAATCTATTTAATGGGCTGCCGTTGACCCAACTTACACCCTCGTTGAACCCTCATAGTCCCCTTTTCGACAAAGTTCAAAAGTTTTTATGCCAATTTAAAGTTTTTCTTTTTGTTACTCTTACTTGGGTTTGCATTATTTTGGAAGGCATTTGGTATTGACAGAAAACAACTGTGTTTAAAGTACTCTTAGGTACCTTTAAAAATTTCTGCAATAAAGTTAAAGCAAATCCATTATTGTGATATATTGTACTTTTCATGGCAAAATGCCAATTGCATTAATATATTTTAGAGTATTTTAAGCTTCAATTTCCCCAGAGAAATATTTTTCAACAATGCTGTTGCCGCTTTTTTGCCATTCAGGTGACAAGTCAGCCAGGAGTAAGTGCAGCTAAAAATAAAGTTGTTGCCGCTGCAGGCGAAACATTGCATTTCGCAATTGTTTTTATTCGACGGACGACACTTTATTGGAGCTGAGCCACCTGAGTGGTGGGTAAAACTATAGGTGGAGCTGCTAGAGAAGCTGCTCCCAGCTAGAGTTCTAATTTATGTCGTTAAGTTTTTCGCCTGCGAAAGAAAAGTTAGTTTGCAGTCACATTTAATGGTCAAGCTGCAGGCGCACAATTTCCACCGGGGGAAAGAGTGCATTTCAAACGGGAAACTGGACATGGACATGGAAATGGACATGGACATTGTAGAGGATGTTGCTCTGTTCCCTGTTGCTGTTTTTTTTTTTTTTTTTTTTTTGTGTGTTGCTTTTTGCCATTTGAGCCTGAGTGTGACCGCCTAACCCAAAAGCAGGCCGGGAGTGGAGCGAGGCCCGGGGCCAATTAGATTTATGGGATTAGCACAGGTCGTTGGCTATAAAGCACTCGCATGCTTGCAGCGGGGCAAAATCAACGTGAAAATCGAGACCATGAGGATGGGGATGAGGATGAGGATCTCCCTCGAAAACATACACCCATTCGCAATTGGAACCTGAAACGGTCGGAAATGTGTGAACGCTGAAAGAAATTATCGGGTAATCTACGATCTATAGATCCGTATATAAAATTTCCAAAAAAGGTATAAGAATATATCTAGAAAAACATACTATATTAATGATAAGATTCTTTCAAAATTCATTCTCGATAGAAAATACATACTTTTCATAAATTTTGCACATTCATTTTTTAAAGTGATAACTTAAATAGAATTGTAAACATTCAGATTTTAATTAGCACAAATTAAACAGAGTTTTGTTCTCTCTGCACATTTGCAAACATTTGCATTGTTTGTCCTGTTGAGCTCTTCTATCTCTCTCTCGCTCTCTGCCCATATATCTTTCCCTATCTTTTTGTACGCAGCTCCTGAATATAGCAACTCCCCACTTACCACCACACTCCCTACTTCATCGCTTACCTTCAGTGCACATCCGGTGGACAACAAAACAATGTTTCATTCCATAAACCGCCGCCAACTTTTGCATCGTTCGTCGTCGTAGTCGACGGTGGTTGTTTCGCTCTCGCACTCGGCGAGCTTTGTTCCGGCTTTCCCCTGGTCCTTCCTGTAGCCCTTACCCTTACCCCACCTAACGCCCTTTTCCCCACGTCCTGTTTGCCTTGCCATTGAGAGGCCGCGACGATGACGCGTGCTCCTGGCCCATTCCCAAAACCACGTACCGCCGCACACATTTCCGGACTCAGCCGGTCTGTTTTTATACCCTTAAAAAGAGTATTGGGATTTCAGAAAAAGTTTTTGAAACATAAGAACATATTGATTTGATCTCCAAGAATCTATATATATTGTTCTTATCTTTTGATTTAAATTTATGAAGTTAAAGCTTTTTTGATATGAAGGGTATTCCAAACTTCGATTCCCGAATTAAGCCAATTTTTACTTCTTTTTCGTGTGTTCGATTGTGTGAGCTGCGGTGGTTGTTGCTTTTTCCATTTCTGCCTCTGTTGCCCTGTTGTGTTGGCTAGTTTTCGATTTTATCGATTTTCATAAAGCTGCTTTTATGGGCGGCATTCAGTGGCAGAAAGTTTGCGGCTCTGTTACTCCAATTAGAGCACACAAAAACACATCCATGCAGCAAAAACGCACAAGCGCACAAACGGAGATGAACAATTTGGCTGCTGACCAGGTGAAGCCAAACATTTCTGGCATTCCAATCGCATTTTTCATTGACTCTCCGTCGCTTCAGCGTCGGCTAAAAGGGGAGATTTTGGTATTTGCTTCATAAATTGAGTTTTTACTTCTTGTTTCCACCGACCGAAAGTTCCTTTGTCGATGCATCCAACCGAAAAATAAATTTCTCTATGTATTTATTCCGTTTATGATGGCGGTCTGGGGTCATAAACAAACTAATTCGTTTGGATTCAGGATTAAATACGACTGGATTACTTTTATTAAACTCGTAAACTATGAGGTCAAAAGTTCAATACGGGGTACATGGACATGTACATGCCTTTGTAACTTTTCCTAGGGTATACAATTTACAAATTTCTCATTTAAAATTAATATCGTATATCTTTATTCCCTGAATATATTAAATAATCTCAGTTACGAATAAATTCTGAGTCTGGAACATTCTTGGTTTTCAGTGAGTGTAATAATAAATTCATATGTAATCATACATTAAAAATTATTACTTAAATGAATGAATTTTATGTGATTATCCTTGTTATTATATATTTCTAAGGGCGTGTCAAAACTTTAAAATATAATCCCTGCGGCTCAATTAATCCACTCGGTCAGTAGAGCACTTTTAATGAGTGCCACTCACGTATAAGAAACTGCAGCTGCAACTAAAAACTCGACCCAATTCGAAGGCTCAAGTTACTCATCCAAACTTATAGGATGACACTAAAATAAGAGCTCTGCTTTGCGACTTAGTAAAAACTTTTTAATTACAAGGATCAGGACAATAAAACTTTATGAGGCGAAAAGCCCTGCGCTCTCTCTCGCTCTCACTCTCTCTGTGTAATTTCTGGCAAATAAATACCAAAAGCGTGGCAAAAACTAATAAAACTGAACTCAACTCTCGGGTTCCAACCGTCATCGTAAAACAAAACAAAAAAAAAATGAAGAAACCAGAAAATCGAGTTGAAGTTGAACGCTTAATGTGTGCGGCAAAAACTTGGCTAATCCCTTTCGTAGCAAAAATAGATAGAGATAGTCAATAAATAGGGAAAAAATGAGACTGTTGCGCTTATATTGGATTTTTTGGCACAAAGTTTTGTAAATATTTTTCCTCGGACGGGCCAAAGGGCCTGGAAACTTTTGGTTATTGCCTGTGACAGGCCAACGAAATGGCAAATCGATTCCAAATGCAATCTCTGTCACTCTGCTGGGGCTAATATTCCAATGAAATTTCGGTGCATTGAACCCGAATCAGCAAGTACAAGGTGTGAATTTGCCAGCCATCCCAGCAGGAGCAGGAGTAGAAGCAGGGGCACTGGCAGGATGTGAATTGGTCGGCGGCAGGAAGCAGCTTGGGGCAACCAGCCACCAGATAAATATAAACACGAAAGTGGAGCACAGGCAAAGCTGTAGCCGCAATAACTGTCTTGGGAGATACGATTCCCCCCTAAGCACACACTGATAATAATAATATGTTACGTAAATGAAAATTAAATAAATTTAAAGAGAATCCTTGGAAATTATTTTCAAACAAGCCGTTCTAAGATACACTATTAAGATAAAATTGGTTTATTTAACTTAAAAATCGTAAAGAAACTTCTGTATTCTCCAAGTGTAGTCAGTAAAGTGTGGATGTTGGGAAAATTCGATGCAAAGGCATTTCCAGAATGACTGCGAATAAAGCAAATGCTCGAGATGCTTGCAACCCTTCAACCCACCCTACACCCTGTTTCCCTCTAACCCCCTTGGTAATTCCCCAAACGCACGGAAAACTTGACAACTTCACATATCTGGGAGGTCTTAGACAAACTCGTACACACACAGAGATTCCTCACTCAAAATCCTCAAATGAAATTAAAAAGTTAAACTTCCAGCTTTGGGGGAGAGAGAGGACAACCCTTAACTTGTGCTTTCTAACTCTTCATTTTCCTCATAAAGTTCTAGATGTTTTTCCTTCAGTGCTTATAAGACATTAGCCAGCTACTTTGAGGCTAGGAAGTTTCTTTGACTGAGAGTATGAAAGTGTGGAATAGTTGGAGATGCCCGTTGGATGGTATAATGTTTGCAATTAGTCACAAGTTCTAGGAATTTGTAGGCAGATAGTTAAGAAAAACAGGGTCATAAAAGCGATTTTACAGAAGCCCATCTAAAAGATATCAGGTGTAATTATAGTTATAAAATGATTATCTCATGCAAAGCACAAGACCAAGATAAATATGTAATAAACAGAACGTGTTTAATCCTCCAGATAAACACCTCTAAGGGCATTTATCAATTTATTTGCCTATCCAAACAATGCAATTGCATTTTGTGTTATAAAAATTTTACTCTTTGTGCTAAAACTCGATAGCCAAATACTATTTCCTTTTGCATGCAAATTTTTCAAAATATATATTTTTTATTATTGCACCTTCGTTCCTGCTCAGCCAGCCATTCATAAAGTTTTCTGCTTATTTGAGCACTATTTCCATTTGCCCGACCCGACTATTTGTTCCAACACGTGAATTCCTTGTGACAAATACGTGATAAATTCGTTGTAGCCTCATCAGGCAAACATGCGCGACATGAACATAGTTTAAGTCTGACGGGGTCTTGAGCTCCACAAATGTGCTTTGTAAAAGGGAGGAGAGGGTGTTGGGAAAAAATACTATAGAAGTGAATGTGTTCCTTTTCGAGACAGCTACAAATTTTCATAGCATATTTCATGCTGAGCTTGGTTGGTGGCTTGAGAGGCGCCAGTGATAGAAAATATACAGAAAACGGCAAACAAAATAAACAGATTTGTTTTGCTTTGATAGTTTCTATGGAAAAGTTTTGATAAAGTAAAATGCTCGGGAATTTACAGCTTTTAGCGGGAAATTGCTGATCTAAACTATGTTTTTATGGCGGCTATATGAAGTTAAGAAACTGAAACGGAGTTGATGGTAGTTTGGAAAAAATATTAAAATATATTTTTCAAAGACATATAAAACTTTTTGCAGTCAAGACATTAAACTTATTCTTCGATGAGGCAAATATTTTTTTTTCAAATAATTGTCTCTTGAAAGTGATCAATGCTAAGGCACTTAATCATGAGACAGTTTTTTTTTATAGCAATTACAACAACTGGAATCTAGAACAGACTTTTTTGTCTAGTACTTCCACTGATGAAGTAGTAATTTGTCTCCACTTTTTTAGTTTGACTCGAGTTACTTCTTTGCAACTGCCTCAATTGAATGACTGTCCAAACGACTGACAAAATGTCACGCTGCGATTGTGCCGATAGCGAAATCTCGTTCTCATTTTCAATTGGGTGGGCAGAATTTGTCAATGCCCCTTCTTCTCCCCTACGGATTTTCCATCCATTTTCATGCTGCATTGCGCCGGAGCTTTTGTCTCAAGTGCATTGCAGTTGGAATTGTGTCTAGAGTGGGCTGCACTGCACTCTCGTCGCAAAAAAAAACAAGCAAAAAGAGGAAAATCACCAACAGCAGCAGCCGAAGTAGAAGCCAAAACTGAAACTGAACTCAAGTGAACTGGAATTAAATGGAGGCCCAGAACGCTCCCCAAACGCTTCTTCAATGCAATGCACTTTGCTGATTATTATTGCAGTTTTTTTTTTCTATTACAGGGCTACGTGACGCAGCTGTAATCAATTTGACATAGATTTTTTAAATCAATATATCAATTTGTCACGATTCGGTCTAGAGTGTAGGATTTGGTCAGTACCGAAAGGGCCACTCAATTTCCTTCTCAATTAACACGCTCTTGGGAAAGGCAATAAAAAGCTCAAATTTGCTTTATATGCATTTTGTTTGCTCACCAAACAAGCAAAATTCGAGCAAACAAACAAACATTTCGTACACTCGAATTGTTGGTTTTCTCTTTTCTCAAAGTTTTTTATTCAATTTGGATTTTCATTTCTGGCATTTCTCGAATGTTTTTCGTAAATTGCAATTTATTTGCGCTGCGAGGATAATTTTCAAATACCTAATTCTTGGGTATGGTCTATCAGAAAATATTTTCCCACATTTGCATCGATTGTACAAGGCAGCTGTGCTGCCGGAAAATTGTTCACATGTCCATATTGCATGTTCGAGAGCTGCACCCGCTGCTGTTGCTGCTGCCGGCACTTTTTGCCACTGTGCCACATAAATTGCATTTTCAGCTAGGCCGAAACATGTTGCTTTCGTTGTTTATGGGGATTGGATTTTGGATTTTTTTTTTTGTAGGTTGGGTTTATTTACAATGAAAAATTTGGGAACTTGCATGAGCTAGAAAAAAGTAATACAAATATAGTGAGTTATTACGTTGCAGCTTTTTAATTAATAAATATTTATAATTGGGGATGGAAATATGATTCCCTTAATTTTAACTGCCAATTTATACCAAACCTATTTGATTTTCTAAAATGTATTTTTCGATTGCTAAATTCTATCTATCTTAGCAGATTCTCACAGTGCACAAACTACGCTTTTAGTTTAACTATTTTTTCTGCTGCTATATAACAGCTCTCTTGAGACTGTCTTATCTGGCCAGCACTTGAGTTTTGTTTTGATTTCATTTGCGGTTGCGCTTTGAAATGATGCAAACAAAAATGTTTGGTTTGATGATGATTTATTAAAGACCAGAATGATTATTCGATGTCTGTATTTACTTTATCATTATTTTTAATAGGTTTAATTATATCTTTATTGCATTTCAAAGAAGGTGTGCCTTGAAAGTCTGTGACCATGATTTTGTCACCCTATGATATTGTCCATTTCTGAGAATCTCACTTTAAATTCCACAGTTCCACACCCTCAGAAGATCGTAGTAAAATTAATATTTGAATTTTGATTTCGTTTTATATTGAGATATGATAAAAGTCATTGGCCTAGAAAAAAATCCAATAAAATTTATGTTCATCGTTTGTTCTTTTCTCAACTCCCTGCTGCTTGTTCAAATTTTTGTACCCCGCTATCTTCAAGTACCCGATCTAAAATAAACATCAGAAGTGTGCATGACCCTCGCTGCTTCAACGCTTTTATTCGGGGCGTATACTCTTTAAAAACCATATAGAAACAGAGAGAGAGAGAGAGAGGGGTGATATAGGGAAAACGAGGGACAGCTGGTAAAGCCCAACATTGAAGAGAGAAATCCAGCTGACTGACGGAAACTGAAAGTGATACATCTGCTTCTCTAACGACCCGAGCCCGAGCCTGGGCTGTGTCTTATAGGGTCAGGCGCCCCTCTTTTGCTGGAAATAACCTTAGAAAATGCCTTCGAGGCGCAATCCACACATCCTGAGACGTTTTTGCGTTGACTTTGGCAAGCAGGTCACGTGAACATTTCAGAAACAAAAAAGGATAAAAAAAAACAAAGGGGAGCTCTGACAAAGGGAAATCCTAGCAGTTCGTAGGGGTGGTCGTCCTGCAAATGTGATTGCTCGCAAAAGGGGGGCGTAGACAACTGAACCTCCCATCATGGCGTGTTCTGCTTTTTGGGCTTCCCTCTCATATCATAAAATACAGAACAAATTTCCTAGATTTTATTTTGTTTTTTTTTTTCCGCTCTGTTTTAGCGCCTTTTCTTGGCAATTGTTTCGACGTGTTTGAAATATTTGAAGCCAACAAGCAACGCGGTCGGTCCCAGCCAAAAAGCTCAGGGTCTGGGCCCCTCTTTTGTTTTGTTTTGCTTTGAGTCTTTTGTGTTCACGCATATTCGGCTGATGCATATAAAAATGAAGTTTCTGCGGGGTTATAAATACGAAAAATGCTCTTATACATACCAACATGAAAATCAATATTTGCGCCGCGTCGTCGTCATCAGTGTTGCGTTCTTTTGATACCTCTTAAAAGAAGATATTCAGGGCATATTGGTTTTAAAAGAAGTGTAGTTTGCATATTTAGTAATACTGTTGCATGAATTCATGACTTGCTTTCTCTTTGTTTAAGAATAGAGATTAAGATAATATTAAAAATGTTAGCCAACCAATCGGTATCCCCTAGTTTATACGAATATATCCCAATTTATTATTACATTTATTCCTCCTCTATTTGTTTTCTCTGTTTGCCAGTCAGTCGTCAGAGTAAAAAACCGAGTCAGACAGCAGCAGCTGATAAGCCGCGATGCGGATGTGAAAATGTGCATGGGAAAGAGACACAGTAATAAATCTATTTACTTCCATATATATATATACTATATACATATTTTTTGACATACCAATATCTGTGAGAATGAGTTTTATACACATATATTAACGAGAACCTACTTTTGATTATTATTGACGAAATCCCTATCTCTCTTTCATTTCAGGTTGCGATAACCAACTTTGACCGAATCAAAGGTGAGCACGAAGAACATGAAAAACTAATGGAAATGTGTTCCCTTTTGTGGTTCTATTTTTTTTGGAGGGGTTTTTCCTTTTTGAGACTGCCAAGTTTTTGTCACATGACCGCAGGCGATTTTGAACTTGTTCCACTTTGGCAGCGGGAATTTGTGGGGGCAGCTTTATCTTTGCATTCATCTGTCTATCGAGGCTATTCTTTGGCCCAACTTCTCCTATTCTGCTGCCCCTAACGCCCAGATAAAACGCGAAATATTTTCCTTTTTTGCTTGCCAGCTGTGTGCTCAATTCAAAGCGAAAAAAAAGAACACAAAAAAAAATAACCTGATGGAGTTGGAGATGCTGGAATATAACAGTGGTTACTCGAGCAGCTTGCTCTAGTTCTTGAAGTGGAGACCAAAACGAGTTTTTCGGCACTTGCCCAACCGCTTGCCACCGCTAATCCCCGCCTCGCATACGTAAATCACTTGAGTTGAGTTAGGTCTGGTTTTCTGATAGTTGTTTAAACGAAAAATAAAACAAGAAAACAAGATTCATAGGCCTAATATACCAAGGTTTTCCAGCAAGTATATGCTTTATGACCGCATAAAATCCGTTATTATATCTTTGACATGTTCCTAACTGGTAATAAATTTCCATGCATATCCACACATCTACAGCTAATTGACCAATCTAAAGTTACGATTTCGTTGGAGGCTGAACAAAAATCGTAAAAATAAATCACAAAACGTATATCTTGAAAGTTTATAGTTTTAGGAAAATAAGTTTACTTAAGACTTTAAACATAGCTGCAAATTTGAGTATCTTCTTATAAGAATTTTAAGCTTTCCGATCAAATTTCCTTAAATATGTTAACTTTCTTCTTAGTTTTTGGTTTTTTTTACGAGGCCGGTTCTCTATCAGGTCTGTCTTCTAATCGCTTCAATCTCTTTGAGAAGGCTTGGTAGAGTGTTTGTTTTCCCTGTTTTCTATTCCCGCTGACGGATTTCAGTGGATAAATTGAATTACCATGTTGCCTGCGCCACACGCAATGCAACTGTCAGGCCCGGCTTAAAGTTTTTGTGATGCAGCTCGACCAAGGGGAAAGTCATCGATGCATTGCCATTACTGTACACCTCCTTCTCGTTGCCTTTTGGCTTTCCAACGATGCATTCCTTGGATCTTTTGTTGTATAATGTGGAAACGTGTTCGAATCACCTGGGCCACATGCTGGGCGAAGCAGGAGAAGGTATAAACAATAGGAGTCAATATAATAGCACTGGAAATTTGTGTTAGTACTAGGAGTTGTTCAAAGAGCACTTTTCGTAGCTTTTTCTAAAAATAGTAGTTTAAATGAAGATATGAAGTTATAAAGAATAAACACATTTCTAATTTTCTGAAACAGATGTTCCTTATAAAATCTATATATTATATCTTACCCAAGTAAGAGGGGTTTTAGATACCTTTAATGTTGATCTTCACCTTTAATGTTTTTCTTTTGAATGCTATTTTGTTGACCGGCATTGTTCGAAGGTAGATGGATGAATGACACACGCGACAAGTAGCCAAGCGCATCTGGCGGCCGGTTGGGTATACGATTTCTGGGGGCCAAGGGGACTGGGGCAACCCTTCAATGCCGCGTAGACAAACCCTCGGCACGTCTCGGGTCTCCGATTTCATGACTAATTATACGGGAAAGCATGTGCCAGCGGCGGGTAAGGTGAGAAGGTTAAGCGCCTACATTCCCACCTACCACCTACCAGCTCCCACCTTATCCATATTCCCTTCACATAAAATTATACGTATTATATTTTTGTTCTTTGCTGTTTTTACTTGCAATTGTTTGTTTTTGCCTTTTGGGTGAGGCCAATTTCAGTGTTGCCTTTTCGCTTTTTTGGTCATTAATGAAGTAATGGAGCTGGCGGCCCAGCCCCATGACTCTGGAGAGAGTGAAAGGGGGGTTTTGTTATTTGGTTTCATGCATAAAATAGCTGCACATAAGTGCAAGCTGCAACTGCAGCATGAAATGATGAAAATTTCATGAATTTGCAACGGACCAAAGGAGCGGCGGTGTATCCGTATCCTCATACCCTTTGGCCCAGTTGTGGGATGAAATGCAATTTTGCGCTGCTAGTTTTTTGAGTGGCACAAACGGACCAACACATGTGCGGCAGCAGGAGCAGACCCTCACTCTTTCATTTTAATAGGTGTAAAGGCCTTAAGTTTATAAAATTATGATACTCAGCAAGTGTGTTCCGGGCACTGGGAGAATGGTTTGAGTTCAAATTTAACATGAACTTTAAAAGAAAAATGAATAAATGTCACTAAAAAGTTGATTTATGTCAAGACATTGTATTATTGCATTATATAAGTGTTTTATGATTCGCAATTGAGGTCAAGGAAGTGCTGTCATTTGTACATGATTTATTTTTAAAGACTTGTATGCAAACGTGAACCCTAGCCGGAGTATGAGGTCTCTCATATGTTAATGGTATAATTTGATTTAAACCTTTACCTCCGTAACCCCTATAGTTCACACAATGAACTTAAAGCTACGGCTTATGACTATAATTTGTTCTATTACAATAGGTTTTCCCAGTGCAAAATCAGTTGCCTTGGCAAGCTGTTGCATAAATCAACTTCACCTGTGAACGTGAGTGTTTGTTTTTCCCTGTGCTACGGGTGCGTGTGTTTGTATTTTAGATAACTCAGCGTTAAGCGCCCGCTTGAAACTATGTCAAGCCCTCCCAGACACATATACAAACCATCGCACCAGCGGCAGCCGCACTAATGCCGGCATTAACCCACAGCTGCTGCTGATGCTGCTCCTCCACCTGAAGAGGAAGCCTCGGATGCGGATGCTGGCCGGGTGCCATCGTGTGTGCTCTATAAAATATTTGTTTAAACTTGCACTACTCCCCTGCGAAGAGCAGCACAGTGACGCCCACATTTTCTGCATTTTCTGGTGTTGATAAGCACACTTTGCTCACCGGCCACTTGAGGCAGCTCAACGGGTAATCACAACATAAATGAGTAGTTTAATTTTGTTCAAGTGCAGCCCTAAGGATTCATCATAGGAGGGGGAGTAAGAAAATAAACAGTGGTAGTGACTTCTTTTCATACAAAATTTTCCAATAAAATCTTAATTAAGTATTCTTTATTCTGTTAAATAATCTTGAATTATCATTATATTCTTAAACAACAACCTTCAAAGAATGTTTCTCTCAGTGGTTGGCATAGGTAGACGCACCTTTGATGTATTTTTATACCCGTTACTCGTAGAGTAAAAGGGTATACTAGATTCGTTGAAAAGTATGTAACAGATAGAAGGAAGCTTTTGCGACCCTATAAAGTATATATATTCTTGATCAGGATCAATAGCGAAGTCGATTGGGCCATGTCCGTCTGTCCGTCCGTCCGTCCGTCCGTCCGTCCGTCCGTCCGTCCGTCCGTATGAACGCTGAGATCTCAGGAACTATAGCAGATACAAAGTTGAGATTAAGCATAAAGATTCCTGAGGTCCCGGGAGAGCTGAAGTTTATTACAGCATCCTGCCACGCCCACTCTAACGCCCACAAATCGCAAAAAACTAAAATTGCTGAAATCTCAGGAACTATTGTAGATAGAAAGTTGAAAATCAGAAAGTATAATCCTTAGATGACAGCGCATCTTATAGTAGTACTACTATCCGGCCGCACCCACCCATACGCCCACAAGGCTCAAAAGGCGGTTTACGGATTTTCTAGAAAAGCTGATATCTCGGTAACTATAAGAGACAGAAAGTTCGGATCAAGCATGTATGTTTCTATGATGCTCCCAATGCGAATTGTTTTTTTCCGATCACGCCACGCCCACTAAACGCCCACAAAACCCGAAAAACCAAAAATGCAAAAATCTCGAAAACCATAAAAGCTACACAATTTTGCTTAGGAACACGTATTTAGGAGATGCCTCTGCAACTTGCCACGAAGATGCATTTGGCCACGCCCACTCTAACGCCCACAAACCGCGGAAAACTGTGGCGTCTATAATATTAGTATGAATGCCTTTGTTTGACCTTGTATAACTTATTTCTGTTAATATCTATCGATTTACCAAAGATTTTTCAAATCGGAACATTATTTCGCTATTTATGAAGAAATTAAGGTTATAAGGCCTCACATGGGTAGTGACGTCACTATAAGCATACTCAACATACTTCCTCTGACAATAGGTGGCGGCGCCTTGTGAATTACCACTAGGAAAATAATATTTTAAAATTTTGTAAAACAGTAACGGGTATCTTATAGTCGCGGCACTCGACTATAGCGTTTCCTCTTGTTTCCCCCTGTCTTGGGTGAAGATATAGAGTCAGAGACCTGCTTTATGACCGGGCCGAGTGGCAAGTTCTGTTCCCCGCTAGAATTGCTGTTTATTGTATTCCTCTAAATTGTTGTTTATGTCTGCATTCAGACAGCAACTGCAGTTGCAGCTGCACTAGCTATAGCAACGGCAACGGCGTTGGCAACTTGCAACTACAGCAACATTAGCAGAGGTAGCAACATCAGCCAGCGACTCGTCAACAACCTGACAATTTGTGCTTGTCGTCTCTCTCTCGACTGATGGCAAAGTGTGGCCGTTGTTGTATGTTTCAGACAGTTTGCTGTAGTGGCAGCAGCAATAAAAGTGCTAAAAAGTTTCATGCCCCCAGACTGTATCCTGTGCCAAAGTCCTGCCACTGCTGCTACTGCTGCTGCTGCTGATGTTGAAGTTCCTGGTGTGCCCACAGAACATTTTTTAATCTTTTAAAACTGAGCTGCATTGTTGGTCGCTCTGTTGTGCTCTGTGTGCTCCTGCATTTGAAGTTGAGGAAAAGAGCGGAAGAATGCCGCAGTCCACCCCTAAGAACCGTCTGAATCCCAGTCCCCTGGCTGTGTCCTTGCATATTCCTCAAGCCTAATGAGAGCATTATAACTTTGTGACAAACTTTGTTCTGGCTCTGAAGTTGTATTCATTAAATATGAAATGCAGCTTGCAATTTC